GGCCTAAGGAAGAGAAGAAGTGACTTATAGCAGTCTTCCAATATCTAAGGGGCTGCCCCAAAAAAGAAGGGGTCAGCCTGTTCTCCAAAGCCCCTGAGGGCAGGACAAGAAGCAACAGATGGAAACTTACCAAGGAGAGAAGCAATTTGGAATTAAGGAGAAATTTCCTGAAAGTGAGAACAATTAATCGGTGGAACCACTTGCCACTGGAAATTGTAAATACTCCAACGCTGGAAGTTCTTAAGAAAAGATTGGACAACCATTTGACCAGGATGGAGTAAGTCTCCTGCTTCAGCAGGGGGTCAGACTAGAAGACCTCCAAGGCCCCTTCCAGCCCCAGGATTCTATGTTTTAGGATGAAGAATATCTCCCATATCTGCTGCTTCTGATTGTCACAGCCCCACAGTTTGCTTTCCTATTTGACGGTCTTCCTTACGGGCAGAGCTTCCTGCTTGCAGGGCTCGATCTGAGCTACTAAATCTTCTGCTTTTCCTTGAGCTAACAAGCGGGGCCAAGGGCTGCTTCAATCCTCTCATTTTCTCCAAGCTTCAACTTGCTGTAAATATATGCTAGGCTTATTTCAAATACCACAAGCATTACAGAAGACATCATCTATTTCGGCTTCTGTTTCTTCCCTCACTACCACTAAATGCTTTTCATTTTTATTTATTTTTTTAGTTCCTCTAGTAGTTATTTTTTTTCTAAGGCGAAAGACTCAGATTAAATGGTGAAAATGTCGGGAATGCTACCTATTCAGAAGGATGTAAAATGCAAAAGTGCTGAATGCCATACAAAGTTATGAAAGTAGTCCCAATATAATCTAGTAAAATATAACTCAGGCACAGGATATTTTGGCCTGAAATTTAGTCTACCGCCCAATGCCAGCTCATTTTTTCTGTAATTCTGGAAGGTAGATCCAGCTGATCACTATACAGCATACTTTTATAACTTGTGGCAGGTTAGATCAGACACAAGTTGTCCCTTGCTTTGGGATACTTGCAGAAAAATATATTAGGAAAATGTTAACCTTGAGCTGGTCAGAATCGAACTCCTAGCAGTGGGCAGAATCAGCCTGCAATACTGCATTCTAACTACAGCAAACCATGGATGGATGGATGGATGGATGGGCAATAGCAACCTAGAATCAAGGAGAAATTTCCTGACAGTGAGAATAACTAATCGGTGGAAGGGCTTGCCTCCAGAAATTGTGGGTGCTCCAACACTGGAAGTTTTTAAGAAAAGATTGGACCTCCACTTGAGTGGGATGCTAGAGGTTCTCCTGCCTTGAGCAGAGGGGTTGGGCTAGAAGATCTCTGATGTTCCTTCCAACCCTTCGATTCTATGGTTCTATGTATTATTGGTTTCCCAAATAATAAATTACAGGTATTCCTCGACTTACAATCGTTCATTCGGTGAACGTTCAAAATTACAACGGCGCCAATAAAAAGTGACTTATGACTGTTTTTCACACTTACGACCGTTGCAGCATCCCCATGGTCACGGGATCAGAATTCAGCAATTGGCTCGTATTTATGATGGTTGCAGAGTTGCGGGGTCACGGGCTCCCCCTGGGTGACCTTTGGACGAGCAAAGTCAGTGGGGAAGCCAGATTCACTTAACGACCGTCTTAGCAACAACCACTGCAAGAAAGATCGTAAACTGGGGCAAAACTGGCTTAACAACTGCCTTGCTTAGCAACAGAAATGGGGGGCTGAACTGTGGCTGTAAGTAGAGGACTACCTGCAGTTAACACTTAACAAACCGAATGAGTCCGGATGGATCAGAGATCAAATCTCGGACGTGACGATCCTCTGGAAAAACTAAAAGAACCGTTTCTGTGGCGTTTGCAGAATTTGTGAAAACTTTTGCCTTTGCTACCTTTTCCCACACAGAATAAATGGGGAGAGAAACCTCAGGGGGTCCAAAGACAAAACCCAAATGTCTTTTTGTGTCAGCTTTTGCAACTCCTGAAAATGCTGCACTGCACCAGTTTGGCAAAATGAAAAGTGCAGACCCCCCCCCACCCCAAAATGATCTGATCCTAATGGGTACAACCTACCTATTGTATCTCGATGCCACTCGGGGGCGGGGGGAATTAAAAATTGCAACATGGGCCGTGAAAACGCTGCCCACCTCGATGTACATGTGCCTGCCCTAATTCTGGGAGATACATAACACAAAAGGCTTCTTGTTTGTCCCCACAAAGAAATTATTGCCTTGCTTCCTTGGGAAGCCTCTAAAAAATGAGTAAACTGTAATTATGTCTCTGCTCCATCCTCTTCTTTCTTTCTTTCTTTCTTTCTTTCTTTTCTTTTCTTTCTTTCCTTCCTTCCTTTCCTTTCTTCCTTTCTTTCTGCCTGCCTGTTGGTTGTGTTTGTTTTAATCTCCCTCAAAGGTTACCAAGGGAGGAGCCCTGCAGACAGAAGGCGAAGACGGTTTCCGGCCTAAGAGGAAGGCAGTAGTTCCATCTTTGTTTGTTTGTTTATATATATACACCCTTCCTCTATTATGTTTATGAATACCTCAATGAGGCAAACATAGCTAATGTTCCTGCCTCCTCCTATTTTCCCCACAACAACCCCTGTGAGGTGAATTGGGGAGAGTGAGAGAGACTGGCCCAAGGTCACTCAACCAGCTTTCATGGCTAAGGCAGGACTTGAACTCATGGCCTCTCACTTTCTAGCCCGGTGCTTTAACCACTATACCAAACTGGCTCTCCTAATTTCATAGGGCAAGAAAGGACTTTGGGGGTCTTGTAGTCCAACCCCCTGCCCAAGGCACCAGAGCTTATACCATCCCAGACAGATGGAGCTCAATGGTCGAAGACTAGCTCTACTCCAGTTTCATTCTGAGCATATATTAAGAAGTTGGGATTTTTAACTAATCCCCCAAAAGGCGGAGTCTGCATGAAATCCCAGGGCTCTAAGGGCGCGTCCTTTGACAAAAATGACAGTGGATCCGTGTAAAGGCACGAAGGGCTCGAGGTGGCCTCCGGGTGTGTGGGGGAGACCTTGGTAGACATGGGCGGAAGAGGACAAGAGCCGCCAGACGGGATGGGACAACTCGTTGCGGGCCAATTCAACAATTCAATTTAATTGTTTAAAGTAATTTTAAAACTTTTGTCATTCGCATTTCATTTTGTCGCTTTCTTTAATGATTCTATTCCATTATTTCTTCTATATAGGTGTTAGCTCCTGTCCCGTGCCGAGCTGGCCATGCCGGGGTGTCCCATGGCACAGTGGCCACAACAAATTGGCTGTGAGGGGTTGTCGTAGAGCCCCCTGTACCAGCTCTCTGCTTGCAAGGACATCACGGGACGGAGAAGACCTGTTTGGCTAGAGAAGGGTGAGCTGCGTGGAACCTGTCGGTCAGCACTCACCTCTTGTACTACCGACCGGGTGCCCTCCCTCGCAAGGGAAGCCTTCTCCAAAAATAAGTTCCTCTGGGCTTATGCAACTGGGCTCCCCACTGTGCTCTCTTCAGCTCCAAGCTTGGCACCTTCTGAAATGGCCCACCTCCACTCAGGCGCCCCAGGCAACCCCTTCCCAAGGAGACGGGATCCAGTGATCTGGTGGCTCTCCCTTCCAAAGGAGAGAAGGACAAGAGAGCCGAGGCTGCTGCAGAGGAAAGGAGAGGATGGGGACTCAAGGATTCCCCTCAGCCAAAGGGGAAAAGAAAGGCCACTCAGACGGGCCCAAAGAAGCTGCCACAAAGGCAGGCAGGGAAACAGGCAGCCATGGCCATGTGGAGGTTTAGACACACGATTCATCGTCCAACAACATGCTGGCTGGGGAATTCTGGCAGTTGAAGTCCACAAGTCTTGAAATTGCCAAGGCTGGAGCCCTCTGAACTAGGGCAGCAACTGCACCCCGACTTTAATTTTTTTAAAAGACTAACTAGAAATTGCACCCTAATTCTGTTTTCATTTTAAAAACAATGCATAATTGGAAAGCTGGCTGGCTACAAAGCAAAGCCCCTTCTAACAAGCCACTAGCACTGATGATGTTACCTAGTTGGGTCATGAGACGTCTGCAAGAAAGCCACCAAGGTCAGAGAGCACCAAGGACCCTTCATTTCAACCCTGAGCTCGAAGATTCTCCTTCCCTGGTATCAAAGCCCCTTCCTCCAGCATCAACTGACACTCCCAGGAATAGCTCTCCTCCCAGCCAGGCCCCTCAGGCATTCCCAGAAACTGAAAGGGAGGGGTGGCTGCAGCCCAGCGCCAGGTTTGAATCGGTGCTGATGCTCACCTGGCACGGGGGGAGGGGGGGGTAAAAGAGCTGCCAGGGAGCAGAGGAAGCATCTGCTGGGTCTAGAAGAATAACACACTCAACCTTCCAAATAGCAATAAAAACCTCCCTTGTTATGACCCGTAATCCCTTAACTCGGGGTCGAGTCGGGGCTGGATGGAGCTGAGCATTTACTGGCCGGATGCCCTTCCTGACACCACACGGAGTTCACAGCAGATAGCAATAAAGGAGAATACAGGTAGTCCTCAACTTACAGCAATTCATTTACTGACTCCTCAAAGTTAGAACGGCACTGAAAAAAGTGACTTGTGACCGTTTTTTACAGTTACAACCTTTGTTGCATCTCCACGACCATGTGATCAAAATTCAGAGGCTGGGCATTGTGACCGTTGCCGTGTCCCAAAGTCACGTGATCTCCTTTTGCAACCTTCTGACAAGCAAAGTCAACGGGGAAGCCAGATTCACTTAACAACCGGGTTACTAACTTAACAACTGTGGTGGTTCACTTAACAACGGTGGCAAGAAAAGGTCGTAAAAAGGGGGCAAATCTCACTGAACAAATGCCTCACTTAACAACCGAAATGTTGGCCTCAATTGTGGTGGTGAGTGGAGGACTACCTCTGTTCCTTCCTTCCAAGTGTGTCCACCAGGCCAAAAGGCAACTGATCTGACCAGGGAGAGTCTGAGGTGCACAAAATCTGGGGAGACTCTTGGAAGCGCCTCGTCTCAACACCCCTTTCCCCCACCTACCTTCCTCCACATCATTGCGGCTGGCAGCCTCCAAGAGCTGGACGTTTTCAGGAAAGACCACCTTCTTCTCCTTGGCGGCCCTCCGTCTCTTCTTCTCCCCTTTAGCCTTCTTGCCCTGCACGTCCTTCTCAAACTGCGCCCACTTCTTCAGCTGCTGGGTGCGGCGCTTCTGGGCATGCTTGAGCCGCTCCTGGGTGCCCATCCGGGCAACGGCTGACATCTCAGCCAGCAGCTCCAGGTGGTCTGCCATGCCTGGCCAAATGCAGATGCTCACCTGCGACTCACGGTTAAAAGCATTTGGAAGTGATGGACGGGGGCAGGTGAGGCGAGGGGTGGAGGGGCCGAAAAGCTCTCTCTCTCTCTCTTGAGTACCAACGGCAACTCTTCAGAGGAGCCTGGCAAGAAGAAGGCCACACCCGGGCCGGTCAAAGTGCATCTTCACAAATTTGGGAGAAAGCTGGCTTTTAATCAGTCAAGGGAGCCTCTCCGCAGCTGGTGCCAGCCCTAACAAGGAAATCTGCACCTTTCTTGCCTTCCTCATACAGGCAGATCCTGTGAAAATGGGCACTCACAAAAGGAAGGATCTGGCCCTACAGGGAGGCTCGGGAGGCACTTTGGCTGCCCGCCTAAGGCAGGGTGAGGGGCTGCTAGCCCTTGTCCTCCATGTTCAAAAGACCCCCACTGGGGAAAAGAGCAAAGCACCAATCCTTCGTTCTTTGGTGTCCGCCCGGCCCCTCAAGCACCAAACTCAGCCTGTGTCTCAGCCCCTTTTGACCAACCGTTCCCGCTGAGCTGAGTTTCCAGGTGTTCCCGTGGAGAGAGGTGCCGGCGATCTCAATCTCTTTACAACACTCCTCCTCCGGCGTCTCCTCTGGCGTCCCTAAAAGAGGACTTCAGCGCCTGGGGGCAGGCCCCTTTGAACTGCCCTCACACGCCTGAGACTGGCCAAGAGCCACCCCTGCCAGACAAGGAGCCCACGGCAGGACCTGAGCGACCTGCCCACGGCTGCATCTCCTTCCAAGCGGAGTCCGCGGCTGGCTGCACATTCCAAGCCTTCCTTCGTGCCAGCAGCAGCTGCTTCAGAGCAAAGTCCTTGAGGGAGCTCTTTCGCTCTCCTTCTCCCCGCAAGGCATGGGCTCTCCTCGCCTCTAGCAACTTAATTAACAAATGGATTTGTCAATAAAGAAAAACTTCCTCGGAGTCCTTGGCTGCTTTCAAGGGGGCCGTTTCACTCCAGCTGCTCCGGAGCACCGCAGGACAAACCGGTTGACGGACGGACGACGGACGGCTGCTGGGCTGGAGTAAGCCCTGCTGGCTGAAGACTCCTCCCTTTGCGTGGCGCTACTGGGGCGCTGGGCTGAGCTTTCTGCCGTAGTCTCCAGCAAAGAGCTGCCTGGAAAGTCCTGCAGCAGAAGAGGAAGAAGGAAGCCGATCAGGCAGGGCTTAGAGGCTGCCACACACCCAGAACACCTAAGCCCCCTCTGGGCCAGACAAACAGCTGGCTCTTGCCCTGCCTTCCTCCCTCCAGGATTAGCCCACAGTCAAAGCTGAAGCCAATGACTTGGAAGTAACACAATGCAGATCAGGTTGGCCAAAGGGGAAGGAGGGGGCTCTTTTCAGCCCTGGGTCCCCTCCTGCCCTTTATAGCAGCCTCCCTCCCGCAATTAGATGTCCTTCACATTTCCCGGCATCTGCATCCTTCCTACCTAATCCCCCTCGAGGGGGGGGTGGCTGGCTGGGGGATGCTTGCCTTGGGACAAATAGCAGGGGGAATTGAGGGAAAGACAGATTAAGGGTTTAGGGGGGAAACTGTAAATGATTTAAGTCCCTGAGGGCCTCAAGGGTAGACAGCAGATTGGCCCAGAGAAGTAACAGAATGATAGAATGACAGAGTTGGAAGGGACCTCAGAGGTCTTCTAGTCCAACCCCCTGCTCAAGCAGGAAATCCTAGATCATCTCAGACAAGTGGCCGTCTGGTCTCTTCTCAAAAACCTCCAGTGATGGAGCACTTACAAATTGTGAAGGCAACTTCTGTTCTACTGGTTAACTGTTCTCACTGCAAGGAAATTTCTCCTGAGTTCCAGGTTCTCCTTGATTAAATTTCCCTCCATTGCTTCTTGCCTTGCCTTCAGGCGCTTTGGGGGATGGGTTGGCCCCCTCATCTTTGTGAAAACTCCTTAGATATCGGAAGACCCTGGTCCTTCTTTCCATTAAACCAGACATACCCAGTTCCAGCAACGGTTCCTCATATGTTTTAGCCTACAGAGCTGGCTCAGGAATTCTGGGAGTTGAAGTCCATGGGTCGTAAAGTCCCCATAATTGTCCACCCCTGATCTAAACCAAAACCCTTCAGGACCAAGTCAGAAGAATCTCAGAACTCCCAAACATTCCTGCTGGTCAAAGGCCATCTGAATTTGGGTTCCTTCAGTAAATTTCCCTCCAGAACTGAAGTGACTCCTCTGGAAAGGATGCTTTTAATCCAAACCATTTTTTGGGTCCCCAGAAATGCTCAATATCTCTAAATGCACACCAAATCCCTGCCAGCAGCATCGGATGGAAATGCATCCAACCAGCAAGACTCTCAGAAACTCGAGGCTCCCTTCGCCAGAGGGAACAGGACCCAGAGAAGCTGCTTTAAAAACTGGAGAAAATGCACAGAGCAATTTTGGCCTCCACTTGAGAGGATGTTTGCCTCTGCACTGCATGCCCCAAAGGTGCTTTTTCAGGAGGCAACTGGACTTTCTTGTTTTTTCTCTTGAGGACGTTTCGCTTCTCATCCAAGAAGCTTCTTCAGCTCTGACAGGATGGTAGGGAATGGAAGGATTTGTACTCCTTGCAGGCAGCTGGTCACTGGCATCCTTTTAGAGGGTGCATTTCTAATTTTTCCTCTGGAAAACCATTCCTATTTCCACACCATTCAAAGGGTGTTCATCCCAAATTGTATAGCTAAAAGTCCGGAGGAGGAATTGCAGACTACAGGAACCATTTGCACCACTCAGGTGACTCTGAGGACACAGATAAATCTCCAAGTGGCCTCAAGGACCCTCTAAAAGGATGCAAATGACCAGCTGTCTGCAAGGAGTATAAATCCTTCCATTCCCCTCCATCCAGTCAGAGCTGAAGAAGCTCCTTGGATGAGAAGCGAAAGGTCTTCAAAGAAAAAACCCCCAGAAAGTCCAGTTGTCTCTTGAAAAAAGCACCTTTGGGACACTAAATGAATGTTATAAATCAAGGACTACCTGTAACGTGGCTGGGGAGTTCCTGTTAAAGGTGGCCTAGATACATTTTAAATCAGTATAAATAAATATTGCTTCAAGTTCCAGAAACCGGAGACCTACCCTGCTTTCTCACTCCACCCTGCATCTCTCAAGAGCCAGGAAGGCAGCACACAATTCCTAGCCAGCATAATCTACATATCTGCCACCTCACCAAACGGCCACCAAAATCTGGCCAGACTCACTTGGGGCAAAATGGCTCAGGAGGACGTAAACCTTCCCATTTCTTTCTCCAATGACCACCACCTAGCTGGGGTTTAGCACGCTGATCGCCCACCCAACGCTCTTATAAAGGAGCTGGCTTAGTCCAACAGCGATAAAACTAAGATGCCTTACAGCCAAAACAGCTTACAGCTTAGCCTGTAATTAGAACAAGCTACAACAATTAAACCTGACCAAGCTAAACCACAGAGCTACCACAGAATTCCACACCAAGCAGTCCTAGAATTCCAATTTTAAAAATGTAATTGCACTTGGTTGCCACATAATCAGCTTACTGGAAAATATTTTGGGGAAATTCCTGATAAAATCTTCCACATGAGAGCAAAGAGGGAAAAAAGCAATTAGGGGTTTCTAGTCACATCAGAGACGGGTGGGATTAGCTCTCTGCATAGCTCCTGGAGCTTTTCGTGGACTAATAAAAGCAGACAAATAAGTTTTATATGCAAACAAAAGACATTTGCACATTCTGTGCATGTTACAAAACTGAGTTTTGCTACCAACCCCCCCTCCCCCCCAAATTCATGCTGGTGTATAATTTCCTAAAACACCACATGCATCACATACAATGAGTATATGCAATACCAATTACCTAAATCCTGGGGAAACAATGGGGCATGTTTCTGGCACTATTTTGCCAATATTGAGAGCTTCCAGAAACAATGAGGCAGGTATGGTTAAATTAAACCGAGAGACCCAATGTCTATATTCTTCTCCAGGTTTGTATCAATGATTTACAATCAAAGTTATATTCAAAGGGTCCTTGGTCCCCTCTGAGCTTGTTTTCTTGCAGGCATTTCATTACCCAACTAGGTGATGACATCAGTGCTAGAAGGGAAGAAAGTTTGAGGAGTGGAGGAGGGTCCTTGGTGCTCTCTGAGCTTGGTAGTTTTCTTGCAAAGGTTTCATTACCCAAGCTAGCACTGATGATGTGACCTAGATGGGTCGTGAAACGTCTGCAAGGAAACCACCAAGCAGAGAGCACCAAGGACCCCACAGTCCACCTCCTCTCTGCAAACCGCACTCCCTTCTAGCACTGATGATGTTACCTAGTTGGGTCATGAAACGTCTGCAAGGAAACAACCAATCTCAGAGACCACCAAGGACCCCACAGTAGTCCTCCCCCTCCCCATGGATCCCACTCCCTTCCAGCATTGATGGTGTTCCCTACTTGGGTAACGAAACTACAAATATTCTCCTTTAAAGTTGCATTCATTACATTCACGAAGCCACTGCAAATATGAATGCCCCCAGACCACCCTCAGCTTCCCAGTCACTGCAGGGGACCCCCCCCCAGGATTGCTGGTGCTGCAGTCAGGCCTGAGAAACCAAGAAGCTCTCCACCAGATCTCCCGTTTTGAAAATTAGCCCAACCCTGAGCCAAGCTCACTTGATTTGATTTGCAACAGGAGTTCCAGGGGCCACAGATCAATCATCGGGGGTGACGTTTGAATGCAACAACCCTCCCCCCCCCCCCCCCCGGAAGAGTCCTACCTTTGTGCTCTTCCTCTGTTGCTTCTGGTGGCCCTCGGTGTCCTTCGGACGCCAACTGACCAATGCACAGGAGCCCTTCGGGTTAACAACCCCTGATTTCAGCAACAATAGAAAAGCGGCGGCTGCCCTCCTCTCCCACCCACCCAACCAGTCAGGCAGTGGCTGCAGCATTCCTGCTGCCCCACGCCATGCCGGGGCACCCACGCAACCTGCCCCAGGTGAAATACGGTATGCAGGAACTCCCCGACTCTTCCTGGAATCAGGAATGTGAAGCATTTGGCAAGAGCAGGAGCAACCCAGCAAGCGCTTCCCACTCTGCAAAGAGAAGCCGGTATTTATTGGGCTTGCAGGCCTTGGGGGGGGGGTCCACACAAGGCCCCCTGAATGCAGCAGGAAACCGCTGGGGACAAGAGAGCTGGCCGTATCTATTCTCTCTGCGCCCCATGCAGAAAGTCCAACCTAGGACTATTCTGAACAAACTGCAATGGGGTTAAAGTGACAGGCAGTCCTCAGCCACTGTTAAGTGAAGCACTGCGGTTGTTAACTTAGTCACACGGTTGTTAAGTGAATTGACTTTGCTTGTCAGAAGGCCGCAAAAGGGGATCACGAGACCCTGGGACACTGCGGCCGTCATAAATACGAGTCGGCAAGCATTTGAATTTTGATCGGTGACCCTGGGGCTACTGCAACGGTCGTAAGTGTGAAAAACGTTCACAAGTCACTTTTTTCAGTGCCGTTGTAACTTGGTCCTCGGATTTACATCGGTGGCAGCATCCCTGCGGTCACATGCTCACCACTTCCAACCTTCTTTAGTGGCTTCCTACAACCCCCGGCGATCTGCTTAACAACCGCAACCAAAAGTGCCAGAATTGCTGAGCAGAGTGGCCAGATGATGTCCTGCTTTATGACTATGTAGGCTTATTTATTTTCATCCCTTTATTATTTTTCTAAGTAACTCAAGGCGGTGAACATACCTAATTCCCCTTCCTCCTCCTCCTCCTCCTTTCTGCTGAGCGAGAGAGAGAGAGAGTGAGTGAGTGGCTGGCCCAAAGTCACCCAGCTGGCTTTCGTGCCTAAAGCGAAACTAGAACTCCCAGTTCCTCTCAGTTTAGACTGGTGCCTTGACCTTGGCAAGAGAAATTCCCACCTCAACTACTGTCTCTGGAGATGCTCCATCCTCCAGGTCCTGGTTGCCCCAAAGGTGCTTTTTTCAAGAGGCAGCTGGGCTTTCTGGTTTGGTTTGCTTTGGTGTTTTTGAAGACCTTTCGCTTCTCATCCAAGAAGCTTCTTCAGCTCTGACTGGATGGTGGGGAATGGAAGGATTTATCTCCATCCAGTCAGAGCTGAAGAAGCTTCTTAGACGAGAAGCGAAAGGTCTTCAAAGCAAAAAGAAGGAAGTCCAATTGCCTCCTGGAGAAGCCCCTTTGGGACTCAATTACCGCCACTGAGGATTACCTGTACCACTGCTGAGCCAGGTGCTCCCTGCCTTCTTCCTGTACATCGTGTTCTCCCTATCTAAGTGCAGCCCCCTGCATTTCTCACCACCGAGCGGTGTTTTCTTAGCTCGAGTCCAACGTTCAGGTTTATCAAGATCCTTTGGAATCCTGAGCCTGCCTTCTGAAGACTTAGCAACCCCCCCCCCCCCCCCCCCCCCATTCAAAGCAAGCATTTTTCAAGGCAGGGCCTCTGGCCTCTTTTGCATCAGAAACGCAGCCCGATTTGCCCCCCACCGTCCGTCTCTTCTTCAGGAAAGACCCAAAGTGGCACAATACGTAGCATGCCAGACCCCCCCCTCCTCTTGGCATCCCTTCACCCATTGGCAACTTTCCTGAAAGAGGGAGAGCCTTCCCAGGTAGGAAACGCATCCAAAGGAGCTAACGTTACTTTATTGTAAGGCTGTATCAGGGGTCTAGCCCACTTTAAGACTTGTGGAACTCCCAGAATTTCCCAGCCAACATGGGTGGCCAGCATGGTGAGGAATTCTGGGAGTTGAAATCCACAAGTCTTAAAGTTACCAAGTTTGGAGAGAATGGCATTACAGTTTTACAAGGCCTCATAAACCTGGCTGTCTAGTAAAGCTTAACTGGTCAAATAATAAATATTTGTTTGTTCCGAGCCAGCAGCCTCACACGGAGGACTCATATTTGCCTCCTGCAAAATCTAGGCACAGCCAGTCCCAAAGTGCCCCCAAGAGGCACTTTCTTTGCTTGCTTCCGTCTTTGGTTACCTGGCCAAAGCCCCTCCCATCGTTCTGGCAGAGGTAGAACGAGGACACCTGCAAGGAAAAAGACAGCTTCCGGGTGTCAGGAACACCTTCTCAAGGTAAGGAGTTCTGCACAGCAGCCCAGGCCTGAATCGCTCCTCGCTAAATTTGCCATCCAGAAAGAACCGATGGCGAAGGGAAGACCTAGGTTTCACGTTCAGCTGTAAAACTCTGCCTCAGCACCTGGAAATAACCTGCCAGGAAAAGCTGCCCTAGAAATAAGTGGAGGAGCAAACTCTGTAGCCTACTGCTCTGAGCAGCTCAGAAGAAAAGCTACTTTTTTAAAAATGTCATAAAGTGGCACGCTAAAGCAACGAACTGGGGACAAGCTACCTTCAAAGGGAGAAGGTGACTTCGATCCTCCACAAGAGAGCCTCCAGCTGAAAGACACCTTCATTAAAGGAGAAAATGAAAAGCAACGTAAGGCAGGTAATTTCGGAGTAGATCCTAAAGGCTGTGTAGGAAGCTTCCGGAGCTGTTTCCAACATGTGGAAGAGCAAATCGGGAACTTGCAAAATTTCTGGGCCAAACCTGGTCAGAGAAAGCCGAAAAGGCAGCCCCGCAGACAGAAGAGAAGATGTTGGAGTCTCATCATCCCCATTTCCACTTTCTACACCTTGAAAAAGTCTGGGCAACAATGCACAATAATAACCTGCCTGCCTCCGGCTAAGGACTGGAAGGCAGCTGGCACCTCAGTTTCTGACTGGGAGAGATGTGGGCAAAGGGAGGGAGATGGGCACAATGCCACCCTGAGTAAAAGCCCATTTCACAGCCTAGGTATGACCAAATCACAAACAGCAAAGCAGGCTATATATATATAGATAGTCCATGATTTACGACCATAATTGAGTCCAAAATATCTGCTGCTAAGCAAGACAGTCGTGAAAGGGGTTTTGAGCCATTTACAACTTTTCTGGCCACAGTTGTTAAGTGAATCGTGGCAGTTGTTAATAGTGAGTAACACTGTCGTTAAGTGAACCTGGCTTCTCCACTGACTTTGCTTGTCAGAGGGTCACAAAAGGGATCACATGATCCCAGAACCCTGCAACCATCGTAAGTATGAGCCAATTGCCAAGGGACTGGGGATGCTGTAGCGATTGCAAGCATGAAAAATGGTCATAAGTCACTTTTTTCAGTGCCATTGTAACTGCAAACAATTGCTAAAAGAATGGTTTCAAGTCAGGGAGTCCCTGCATTTAATGGGCCAAGAAAGCATGCATGCGCCAGAAACAAAAATGGGGCTCCTGTACCACAAACAGCAAGTGCACCAAAACTATGGCCTCTTCTATCTCATTCAGAGGTAGAAGCCGTGGTGGCCCAGAAGGCAGGATTGCAGGCCAACTCTGCCGTCTGCCTGGAGTTTGATCCTGTCTGGCTCAAGGTTGACTCAGCCTTCCGTCCTTCCGAGGTGGGTCAAATGAGGACCCAGATTGTTAGGGGCCAGAGGCTGACTCTGTGAGGGCTGGGAAGCCCTGGGAAGCGGTATGTAAGTCTAAGTGCTAGTGCTATTCTCCAGGCCCAATTCACAACACACTGTCTTGGAACACAACCCTTCGGTATTTTAGCTCTCCACCAAATCAACTTTCCATCACACCTTTTCCCCAGGGACTACTCTGCTGGGGGGGGGGGGGGGGGAACCAGCCACCGCCCTTTGGCTTTTAAATTTTTTATTAGGTTATCAAAATATAAAATACAGAAATGCAAAGGAAAATGGGAATAACGGGGGAAAAGGGAAGGAGAAGAAAAAAGTGTATAGGATGAAAGGGAAAGAAAAGGAAAAGCATTGACTTTTGATTCTTTTCGGTGCAGTAAAATAGGATAATTACAACCTCAACTTTTTACTTTTGCATAATAAAAGCTGCTAGCCATTTCTATAACAATGATCCTATCTCATCAGCAAAACGAAAGTTTCATTTTTTTCTCCACCTCAAAGTCCAGAAATGGTTTCCAAATAAAAACAAAATTGTGTTCTTTTTTTTCTTTAATGAAAGCAATCAATTTTGCTCTCTCTGCTAAGTCCATCCAATTTTGCAGTCATTTGTCCATTGTAGGAATCAAAGTGTCCTTCCATTTTTGGGCATAGAGTGTTCTTGCTGCTGTCAGCATGCATATAACATCATCAGCCACTGCTCTTTGGAGCCTCTTCAAGCCGCTCATCCCCAAAATCTGAACAGCTCGTCCAAAGGGGAAAGGATCTCTCAAGAACCACTGCTCCAAACCCAGGAATTCCAAATTGGTCTGAAGACAGGAAGCAGAGAACCAGAAGCAGGGCAGGGGAGCTCATGGCCGGGGGAAAGGTGGACGGAAGGGGGGGGGGGGGGGAGGGAGGGAGAGAGAGGGAGAGAAACAAAGCTGTGTGAGTTGCCAACACACACCCAACAATGGCTGGTATGTTTACAAGAGGCCGTTTGCAGGCTGCTTCACCCCCTGCTAGAGAGGAAAAACAGACAGAGCCATTAAATCAAGCTTGCCAAGGGATCGACCAATGTATAATCAGCGTAAATGGAATTGCTTGAAAAGGGAAAAAGGGTTTTCTAATGATACTTTTGCCGAAAGAAAAAGGTATAATTATACCAGCATAATTTAAGAAAGTTCCAAAAACTTACGTCTGCTAAATATAAATAAGGGCTTCACCCATATTTCAGAACTGCCAAGAGCATAAAGTCAACTAATCAAAGGATGAAACCATCGGCTTTATTTCAGCAGAGATTTGGAATATTTTAGTAAAATATTTTGTACTGATCACACCAGAGTGCTCTAAGGTCTCTATTAGTAAACCAGTGGCTATTCATAAGTTCCTGCAGGAGACGCTTCACACACACCTGTGAGTCCGGCCTCGGCGCAGGGCCCAATCCCTGCAGGTGCGTTTTGCAAACTCACTTCCCCCCATCCCTAAGTCAGTAACATTACCCGGGGGGGGGGGTCCTCCAGCCCAGAGATCCAGCCCTGCTAAGGAAGGGTCAGCCCTAGAGGGCACTTGGATTGTTTGGGGGGGGTCTCCTGCTAGAGCAGGGGGTTGGACTAGAAGACCTCCAAGGTCCCCTCCGACTCTCTTATTCTGGCAGGTTGATCTGATTAGTATCAGATCTAGCTGCCCAGAGTTACCTTGAGGTAAGATGGGCGACCTATAAATTAATTAATATTAATTTATATTAATTAATTTAATAATTAATAACACATATGTATAAATCCCAACCACCCCCCTGCTTATCCCATTCCCTCTCCCCCCATCGTTTAGCTATTTTGTATTTTTATATTTTTGTAGCATTTGATCTATACAGATTTATTTATTTTTTAATATTGTAAACCACCAGAGGCATCCTATGGTGAGGTGCATGGCCCAATCAATTTAAGTAAACATAAACACACACACATATAATGGATGGGAGACCACCAGGAAACCCTGCTGGGGTGACTCCCTCATACCAGAGCCCACCCTCTGGCCCATGGGGCTGAGCCTCTCTCCTGCATCCCCATTAGCCGCAGCAAAGGGAGGGGGACGACAAGAAGGGGGTCTTCCGCCTGGTCCAGAGTGGCGGGATCTCCTGGTGGCCTCTCATCCAGCTGCCCCTTCGGTGGCTCCTCCCCCCCCCACGCCTTTCCACAGGCAGGCAGGAGCCCCAGGCCATGAACTGAATCACCTAGCACACCACTCTGTGCGTGTGTGTGTGTGTGGGGGGGTGTCTTGGACTACACTCTCCATCATCCCCCTTTCCTTTCAGGCCAGTCTTGGCTGGGGATGATGGGAGTGGTGCCGGAATGGGGAAGGTCCCGGATACCCTCCTCAGGGGGTCTTTCCGGCGCCCCCTCCGCCCGCCATCAACAAGGCCAAAGGCGCCCCCTCCCCAGGAAATCCGAGGCTCCTCCCCCCACCGAGTGACCCTCCCCCCCACACACACCCCTGACCTCCGGGCCCCTCGAGGGAGACCCCCGCTCACTCCCGCCGCCGCCGCCCCCCGCCTCGCCTCGCCTCGCCCCCCTCACCGCGGCTCCACGCCGGCCGTCCCCCGAGGCGCGCGTCTCCCGCTAGGCCCGGCATCGCCGCCATGGCAACCAGCCACACTTCCGCCGCGGGCCGGAAGTGGGAGGCTTTTCCCCCGCCGCCGCCATATTGAGTGAGGTCAAAAAGGCTCAAGGAAGCCCGAGAAGGGTAGAACTTGGTCTGCAGAACCGCAGGTGGCCGCCAGATGGCGACAAAGCGGAGTTATCTGCCTGAAGCTGCTCTCAGGCTGAGCAAAGCGGAGGATGATGGGAGTTGTAGTCCCACACATCTGGAAGGCATCAGGCTGGTTGGAGACTCGGCCTCTTTATCTTCTGAGCTGCAAGGAGAAAGGCATCAAGGATTTCCTATGGAATCCATGATAGAGCTTGATAAATGGATTTAAAATGTCCAATTTATGCTGGGAAAATCTAGGACAGGACAGGACAGAATAATAACTTTATTGTCACTTTAAATCTACACTAATCGGCATACATTAAAATGAAATTTCATTACATACAGCTCCCAAAGGGTCTCCACCCCCAATATGCACTACATAAACATGACTAAATAAATAAATAAACAAATACAAAATTATGTATATGCCCACATATAGTATATGACACACAGAGAAACAACACAGTCTAGTTTGGATGTATACACGTACATGGCGAGAAAAAACTATTTATTACTGTTTATGCAATCTTTCAGAAGGGACCACAGCTTTTCCTTCCTCCGTCACTAGAAACAGCCATTTGTCCAGAATGGAATAAGGCAGGCAGGGATGTCCAACCTTGGGAACTTTGTGGACTTCAAGCTTTCCTGGCTGGGGAATTCTGGGAGTTGAAGTCCACAGGACTTAAAAGTTTCCAAGGTTCAACATCCCTGGTATATAGGGTCTCTTTCTTGAGGAGGGGGTTGGACTAGAAGACCTCTAAGGTCCCTTCCACCTCTCTTATTCTGCATGACCAGCTTCCCAGCTTGTGATTTCTAAACCAAAGGATTAACCTTCCACCAGATGTGCTGAAACATATCTTAAGATACGTTTCCAGGAATCTTCAGGATTACCTAGGTTGATCCCTCCATGACAACATTCTTAATGAGTCCATGAATGACTCACCTATTTATGCAAAGCTACAGCCCACACCAGATTGTCCAAAGAAAAGCTGAAAAGCTTGGAGTTGATTGTTTATTCTGTGCCACTCTGAAATAGCTCCTCCAAGAAAGAAAAGGGGCCTTTAAAACCACCAGCCTAATATTTCTTGAAGATTTATTAGCTTATTTATTATATTGATTGATGTAGCCCCCTAATCCACAATTGCCACTCTGGTGACAGACAAAGTAAAAAAATAAATAAAAACAGTAATTACAGGTAGACCTCGACTTACAACAATTCAGTTAGTGACCGTTTAAAGTTACAACAGCACTGAAAAAACTGATTTATGACTGTTTTTCATACTTACAACCGTTGCAGCATCCCTTGGATCACGTGATCAAAATTCAGAGGCTTGGCAACTGATTCATATTTATGACAGTCGCATTCTCCCGGGGGTCACGTGATCCCCTTTTTGTGACCTCCTGGCAAGCAAAGTCCATGGGAAAGCCAGGTTCTCTTAACAACCGGATGACTAACTTAAGAACTGCAGTGATTCATTTAACAAGTCTGGCAAGAAATATGGGGCAAAACTCACTTGACAAATGTCTCGCTTAGCAACAGAAATTTTGTCTTCAGTTGTGGCCGTAAGTCGAGGACTACTTTCACTCAAAGAAAGGTGTTGTAGGACAAAGCATAGGAAAGAGAAGACCACCTGGAAACCTAGAATCTCTCAACCTCCTGACTTACTGAACATCAGCAGGACTTTGCACCCCTCAAATCTCCGAGGGTGAGGTCCTAGAGACCCCCCTGCACGACACACAGACAGTTTCCCCACAGAGCAGAAGGTAATGAAAGTAAGCAGGTCCTCAGGTAGTCTTTTCTTTTATTGATGCTCTCTGAGCTTGGGGGTTTTCTTGCAAACGTTTCATCACCCAACTAGGTAACATCATCAGTGCTGAAAGGGAAGAGGAAGAGTGGGAAGAGGAGAACTCTGGGGTCCTTGATGCTCTCTGAGCTTGGTCGTTTGCTTGCAGACATTTCATTACCCAACTAAGTAACATATTCAGTGCTAGAAGATGCAAAAACCACTCCCTTCTAGCACTCATGATGCTACCTAGTTGGGTAATGAAACATCTGCCAGAAAACCACCCAGCTCAGAGAGCACCGAGGACCCCTGATTTCAACCCTGAGCTACAAATATTCTCCTTTATAGCTGTTTAATCACCAGCATCGCAAATTGTACCCGAACCTTAAAATGCAACTCCTACAATAATACAGATATTTCAGGTTAGGGGCCATTACTTAACCATGCTGGGCAATGATATTTGGATCCGGATCCCCTTTCAAAAGATTATCCATGACATATCTTCCCATGAAAACGTGATTTTTGTTCCGCAGCCCTCCAGCAAAAAGTCGGTAATTACCTCAAGGGCGAAAGGGGGCTTCCCAGGGCGAAGGCAGCGCATCCATCCACACGGGGTGCTCACCATCTGTAGGAGCTCCTTGTGAGCTTTCTGAGGGCCTCCGGGGACCGAGGCTGGAGAAGGAAGGCTTGGATGGGGCTGTGCTCTACGAAGAAAGAAGGATGGAGATCGAGGAGAGAAGCAACCTAGAACTAAGGAGAAATTTCCTGACAGTGAGAAGAATTAAACAGCGGAAGAACTTGTCTCCAGAAGTTATGGGTGCTCCATCATTGGAGGTTTCCAAGAAGACACTGGACAGCCATTTGTCTGAAATGCTATAGTGTTTCCTGCTGGAGCAGGGGGTTGGACTAGAAGACCTCCAAGGTCCCTTCCAACTCTGTTATCCTGTAAGGGCCACCAAGGAACCAAAGGCTAGACAAAAGAGGCTCCATCATTGCTCACCAGCTGGTCACTCCAGGCAAGCTGTGGCAGGGAGGATGGATAGCTACATCAACTCTACCATCATCTCATCGGCTACATCAGGCCTCCCTCCATCTCCATGAAGGTGACACGGACTGCAATTCTCTCTCCTGAGTCCATGTTCTCTACAAATGCAGACACACAAGCCAACACCCCCATATACTCACACCTGCTTTGGGACAGGCCTTTTGCACAACCGTCAAATTAGTTTCCCTGTTGGAGTTTTGCAGAGAGGAAGCACAGGTTGTCCCAAAGGGGCTTTCTTCTCAAGAGGCAACTGGACTTCTTGGTTTTTCTTTGAAGATGTTTCGCTTCTTATCCCGGAAGCTTCTTCAGCTTCTTCAGAGCGGAAGTTGCCTCTTGAAAAAAAGCACCTTTGGGGCAGCCGTGACCCGGATGGCTGAGAACCTCCATAGACAAAGCAGGGGCTGCTTAGAGAAGTGAGGAGAAGCAAGCCAGGCATTGTCCCGGGTCTTCTGATGTTGAAATCAACCAGGTTTGGTTGTGTGAATGCACCACGCACAAGGAAAGGGGCAACCCAGTTTTCCCTCTCCCCAAAAGACAGGAACATACAGACTGACTGTGCAAAAATCTGGGGGGGGGGGCATCTGCTCCCCTCAAATTGGCACCCACCAGACGGATTGGATGACTTCTCCAACCGTCCCCAGCCAGGTAGAGAGTCTGCGCCTGGTAGCCCAGCAAACTGAGGGGGCATCGGCTTGGGCACCGCTGCCCCAAAGAATGCCAGGCTGTCATGTGGAAGAAGAGAACCCAGCGTGACACGGCGGTGACATCATAGTGCTCAGTGGCAGGCTGGGAGGAGGGCAGCGGACGGGTCCCCCCCACCCTGGAGCTCTTTGCGGGTGCTGGGGCTTCCTGGTCGTGCCACATGGCCCACTCGGGGCATCCCAGGGGCCCTCAGTCCCCTGGCCCGTTCAGGAGCAGGCGAGACCGGCTGGGAGCCCCCCGAAATGGGCATCTTCCCTACGGGGCTGAGGAAGAGGAGGAGTGGGAGACGGACCCGGACTTCACCCATGAGGCCAGCAGGCCATGGAGGGAGCGCGAGATTTCGACCTCATCCATCATTTCTGGTAGGCAGGGACACCCTTGCCGGGCGCCCCTTGTTTTCAGGCATCCATTGGCCTTTATTTGGGGATGTTGATATAGGTCACAACAGCTGCCCCTCCCAGGCTGGGCTCAGAAGCCAAGCAAGCACGCCAGCCCTTCGAGGTAGGATTCCGAAGTCATGAAGGTCAGGACTAACAAATCTGGATGGGTTTCTCCCATTCCCTCCCTGCAAACTAAGGAGGGAATTTGTCTCATTAATCAGGTTATTTCCTCCTCCAGATAAGTCATCTTTTATCTGCAGTGATTTGCTTAACAATAGCGGCAAACAAAAAACTCTTTTAACAAGGGCCTTGTTTAGCCATGGAAATTGTGGCCCCTATGATGGTCACAAGTTAAGAATTACCTATCACGGCTATTTTTGTCCCAGTGTGTGATTTATTGCTTGACTTGCTGCCCTGAAGGACAACTCACAAATGCCCAAACTACCAGTAGTCAGTCAGTGGGTTCACACCTAGCCCTAAACCACACTCTGGTTTGATTGCCTTTCCTTAGCCCAGAATTATGGGAGTTGAAGTCCACCCATTTTAAAGTTGGGCTGAGTTTGAAAGCTGCGGCCTTTGTGCCAGGGACCCCGTTTGCGTCTCAGAGCAACGTGCAAACTCAGCCAATCACAACGGCAAGAGCCTGGATAGCTCTGCAGACAAGGCACTGCAATTTAACACCAGCTGTCTGCAATTAAAGTAAGTTCAAATCTCACCAGGCTCTAGGTTGACTCAGCCTTCCATCCTTTCTAAGGTAGGTGAAATGAGGACCCAGTTTGTGGGGGCAATAAGATGACTTTGTATAAAATATACAAAAGGATGAAGGCTATTGCTTAACGCATTGTCAGCCGTCCTGAGTCTCTGGAGAAGGGCGGCATATAAATCAAATTAATATATATATATACGTGTGTGTGTGTGTGTGTGTGATATGTACTGTGATGAGTTCACATGTCACGTTAGGGTTTCCATGATGG